AACCGAAATAAGCTTCTTTTCTCCATTGTCAGGGGCGTAGTTCCAACTTGTTTCAACAATCCCAATGTAATAGTGCTTTTCCTTGGCCCAGGCTGAGGTGCTGAACAAGATCAGAAAAGTACCGAGCCACAGAGTCTTCATGTTTGCCTCCTCTCGGGACCTCAAAACTCATGAAGTGAAGCCAGAAGCAGGCGATTTTATAAATAAGGGTTTCCCAATTGGTTTATGTGGCTGACACTGTTGAGTGTTGCACAAGAGTAAGTTGTTTTGTTAAAGCAAATAACATTTCCAATTCAGCTCAGTTCTCAGCAGACCAGGGAAAACAGTTACTTGCAGCCCGGCTTCTCTGATTACAAGGAAAGGAGCCAACAGTTATTGTTGGAGGCATTAGAGTGCGCATAACTGTTTCTTCCTCTATTCAGAGTGTAAATTCCAGAGAGGCGGAGACCATTTCTAAAAGCCTCCTTTGTCCCTTTAACAATAGGCCACAGTATAGTGCCGGGCAACTAGTGAGCTTTTTAATGAAGCAGGATAATGATGATATACAAAACGAGTCTACCGCTGAAAGCTGAAACTTAAGACAAATTTATTCAGGACAGGAATATGTTATTCAGCACGCCAAATTTAAGAGGTCAAAAATTCCAGCTGTATTTTGAAAGATTTATCTATTCCGGGAGCTCTGAGTTCAACTGCACAGAAACCTTTCCCAGATTGCTCGGTTTGGTTGCTTGTAAATCTGTGTTTGAATTGCGGTGTTAGTGAAAGATGTTGACTAGATCAGGGATTGCTAGAAGAAGGAGTAATTTCGTCTTGGAAGAACTGCAGTCAAAATTTTAACTGGAAGAGAAAACGACAAGACTTTGCCCCAGGTACTTTGGACCTATTATCAGGAGGGGTCAGCCCAGGGAGAAGGGAATGGTAGGGAAAGTCGTCAAAAAAGAGGAAGACCCTCCGTGGGGGAGGTGCATCGGCAACTCAGTGGCTTCAACAAAGCGCTCAAACCTAGCAATGGCAGCAAGGCGGGCACAGGCCCTGGTAGTGCAAACAGGGCCTGAGTGGGAGCTTACTCAAATCGGAACCTACTCGACAGCACCTGACAGTGACAAGGACAACGACGACATATGCAAACAATTGAACTCTCACGGAGATTGATCATTCTGTTTTTAAAATGCATTTGTTTATTGTGACACAGAGATATAAAAAAAAAACCACTGAGATATGAACGAAACATTTCTAACTTCAGGGATTCTTAACAAGTACACTTCCATGACATGGATTACATAAATCAGGTTGTGCATTCTTCACCACTACCCTTTTCCAAATGACTCCACCACCATTAATAGAAACAACGAGCTCCCTGAGCAATTGATTTCCCCTTTTCAACTCTCACTAGTAAACTTGGGTCTCTCTGTATTTGTCTATTTCATAGCAGTGGGATAATGTCTTCTCTTGTGACTGACATTTCAACTTCAGTTTTCCCAGTTGACTCAGCTGTCATGGGTTTCAGGACTTCACTTCTCTTTGCAGCTGAATAATATTCCACTGCACAAATTTTCTTCAT